CTGTTGAAGTTCCAAGCTTTTAAGTTCAAAGCACCAGTGGTGAAGAAAATGACGTGACCCACCTGCCAAGTGTGACAGCTTGCAGGCAGAGACAGGATGTCAGAGCTGCCTCCCAGTTACACCTGCAGGTAACTTTTTTAGTCTGCTTTATATATCACCTGCTGATGGCTGATGAAACACATTGTACAAAACCATTCTACAGAGAAATAATCCATTTTTTTTCCCCAGTCCTTACTCGGGGTTTGGCTCTTTCACAGACATTGTTATTTTCTTGACAGCTCTTGTTACACAGCCATAACTCTCCCAAGTGTGACAGTGTCCCAAACTCAACCAGGTAATTACTGCAGACCTACCACTCCTCAGCAGAATGGAGAAACTGCTCCATTACCTAATTTAAAATCCTGCTGTATGTTCCAATGAATTTTCATGACAGTGATGCTGCTGACTCACGATAATTTAGGAACCACTACAGCCCCCAGATACTCCCCCACAGAAGTGCTGCCCAGGCAGCTGCTACTTGTCTGCGTAGGCATTGTACCAAAACACAGTAATTTGAACCCATCTACACCAAAATGGCTGAAACCAATCCTATTGATTTCAGACCATTTACTGAATTTGTCAAGATCTGTGTGTTCAGTAAGAACGTTATTTCAACACAGAGAAGTGAAACTACCAAAAAGTGCCTGATCCAGGACAGGCTCCCCGACGTGAACACAGCCCAGTCCTGCCTTTTTCTAGATGTTGTGAGGGAAAGTGCACCTCAACTCCTCAGCATTCTGGAACTTCTGCCATCCCCACAGGCTCTCAGCTCCCTAAACACTGTAGGACACATTCCATAAGGCCCAGTCAACCCAAAGACACGAAAGTTGTCATTAATGTGTTTCTCTACTTTTAACTGGAGTTCAAAGTAGAGGAAAGAGAGTTTTCCCAAACCAACAGGCAAGATCATAACACGTTCAACATTTTCAGGATGAGAGTTCCTTGCTGAGTTTTTTTTTTTCTAAGATTAACATCAAAGGTCTTTTCAGTCCATCTCACGTGAGCTCTGATTAATCCCTTGATGATGGATGACGCATTGTAACACAATGGCAAAACACTCCCCTCTGCTGAAAGGCTGGAGGCCTGTTGTAATCTTTGCCATACAAACCCACAGCACCTTTGTGAACACCAACAATTTCTGTGCCCAGAATGACACCATGTACCTCCCTGGCAGACTCAGTCCTTTATTTACAAGTTAGTTGTTTCTTCACAAACTGAACATGACAAAATTCCAGGAGTGACGCTCATTGCCACGTGCTCTGGATGTTGTAACTACGCCATGGGGGTCACACAGATATCCAGAAAAGGCCATTCCTGCCATCCTAAACTTCTTTCCCCACTGTCCTCTTGGCCCTTACTATGCTAGACACTGATAGTCTACCTGAACCTAGAGCTGACATTGGAAATAAACTGCTCCAAGGGAAATGAAATTAAAAATCTTAATTTCTTTCTGTACTGGAAAAAAAGTGGATGCCTAAAAGCAGGGACATGTATTTAGACAACATTACACCCACCCACCCACCCCTTTCCTTAAGAGTCACCATCATCACACCATGAGGCTGTGATGCTCCTTGCAGGGTGGAGGATAAAACTGTGTAAAACACTGAACTGGAAGCGATCACAAGATTCAAGGACAAAAAAGCCCAACCAAACCAACACCGGCATTTTTGCTGGAATGACTGTGAATCCCAGACCTTCAGTAAGTCCTGGTGAACTCTCTGGTGTACAACAGTCCCCAGGGCACAAGGTCACAGACTGCAAAATATTTCTTCCTGAGCATCATTTATTGCAGAAAACCTCAGTTATGTTTGGCTGCACCGGTTCAAAGGATTTTTGTTAAGCCAGACCTTGGAAGTGCAACTATTTCAGATTAGTCATTTTATGGAACTGCACACACTGACACTGCAAAACTGTTTTGCTGTTTAAATACAGCATAAAGAGTGAAAATCCTTCTCCCCACGCTGCTGTAGGCCAGAGAGAAGGCAGGAACTGAAACAGCTAAGCACACTTTAATCAAGAATTTCCAGTATGGAGTGATACAGCCTGATCACTAATATCTATGATTAATTAAGCCAATATGCTTCCCTCCCCACTCACTGTCATGTTCACAGCCCTAGAACTCTGAGGTCTGCACAGTGTTTGCACACACATCCACGGGGCGGTGGACACTTAGCCACTATCAATCTCTACCTAAATCCCCTCCCAAAAATGTAAATTTATCTTCTGACCATACAGTAACTCCTTAAAGGTTTGGCACATTTTCACAGGAACATATTAAGTTACAGCACCACAAGTTAAACAACATCCTGGCATCGGTGGAGTATTCTGAGCAGGACCACGTTTCTGTCAACTTTCCCTGCTTTTCATCAAATCTGAGGAGCAAAGAGCACACGCACTTCAGCCACTCTTGCTGAAACCAAAGCCACGTGATTTAGTTGGCATCCCGGTGGCTACAATAAGTGACAGTAAAACGTCTGCTTCCATCGCTGAGTTTGCAGAACAAAAACTAAAACCCCTCCCGCCCTCTACAAAAAAAAAAAAAATCCTAAACAAACTTCCTTGTGCACACACCGACCTCACCGACTGCAAAATTCAGGAACTGTGACCTTTCCCTGGATAAGCTGGAGCAAGGGCCACCCCCACTCTGTGTTTGTACAAAGCCACGAGGAAAACCTGTGTCCGTGTGAGCAGAGCCAGCACTCCAGCGGAGAGAGAGGTGCTTCGTGTTTTCAGCTCTGCTGAACGCTCAGCCCCGTTCCCACCTCTTCGTACAGACAAACAAACAAAGCACGCCCTGCACTGCACTTCACAACCCAGTCAGTTCAGCAGTTACACAACTAACTTCAAACAACTCGTAACACTGACTTTAAAAAAAAAAAAAAAAAAAAAGAGGCAATTTTAACTCCCGAGCCAATGGTTTTAGCTCACTCTGTAAAGGCAAGGAGAACATTATCTGAGACCTCACACTCCTGAAGAAATTCACAGATCCAACCACAGCGTTTTGCAGTATTAAAAATAAGTATCTCACACCCCTTGAAATGCTGTTTACACTTCATGAAAAATGCTAGTGCATATTATTTTTTCTCTGGTGACTTAATTTCCTAATTTAAAACAGGAATCTCAAGAGGCAGTAACACCACGTGTACACAAACAGTCCCAACTGTGGGACAAGGTGACCATACCCTGCAAATATTCCCAAAGTAAAAGTATTTTTCCTAACATTCAGAAAGTGTGCATTTCCATTTGATTTGTTGTGTTTCACATCTGCGTTCTGCTCCTCGTATTTCTGAGACACCCTCAGAAAAAAAATAGGACTTGCTTTCTTTTAAAATGCCATCTGTTCCCTGCATATTTTCCCTTTAGGTCCTCCTATGATATCTGCAATGGAAACTTCTGTGTCATATAGGATTAAGGCTATAAAACAGATGAATATAAAATGCAGAGGCTGCACTTTGCTACTAATAGCTGTTAAAAAAAAAAAAAGAGAGAGAGAAAAGAAAGATAGGGAAGTATCACCTGAAGCCTTCCTATTCTAAAGACAAAAACTCAAAACTTCAAAAAAGTTCTTCTTAAGAGACTTTTCTCTAGAAATGATGGGAAAGAATGCAAAAGCAAAAGCTGCTCCTCTTAAATCTGGGGAATTTTATTTCTTCCTACCACTGCTCTACACCTGTTTCCTTCCTGAGTCAGAGTCTGGAAGTTTGAAATACCGGTCTCCAAATGGATAAGCAAAGGGAACCTTTCGCTGAAATACCAGCCGCAGTCATTCATGAAAGCAACATTTGCATAAGCTTTTTTTTCATAACACCTAACATTTTTTATAGAAGCAATGTCAGCTCCACAGTAAACTCAGCCTTGATGGCTCCTCAATTATCTCAGCTTTTATCTCATCTCCATTCCCCCCCGTTGCTGTTTCCACACTTTGCTCAGGCACTCGCAACGTTTCAGAATATTATCAACATTACTAACACTTGTGTCACTCACACCTCGGGGGCGGGGAAAGGCAGGCTGACCTACCTGGTCATGTTAATAAAAAAAGATTTTTGAGCAACCCTCTTAAACCATTCCATCATTACTTATAAGGAATTAAATAGCGACCGTTCCCCTAAAGCTGTTTAAAAACTCCAAAACTTGTGCAGACACCCCCTGACTGTTCTAAAATCGTTCCAAAACAGCTCGTTACTAAATCCAAAGTCTCAAATTCTGACCCAGTCCATCCACGGCCGTTTATGCCAAACCACGCCAAAAAACTCAGGCCAACGGGGCACAAAACACACCGGGACGCGCAGGAATAACTTCCACGCCGGGAAGAGCCACCTCACGCTCGGGCCGGGCGCTGTTTCCCTGCGAACGGACAGCAAGGGGGCACCTGACAAGTTTCCCAGCGCGGCTGGGGCAGCGGGCAGGGCGAGCCGGGCCCCGGCCGCCCGCGGCACACGTGTCACTGCCGGCCCCGACCGCCCCTTCCCGCCGGGGGAGCAGGGAAGCGCGGCCCGGGAGGAGCCGAGGGGAAGCGGCCGGGCTGGTTTCGTTTCCAGCCGGCAGCGAGGTCGCCCCTGCCCGGCCCCCCCCCACCCCGGCACTCACCCCCCGCCCGGGCCCGCCCCGCTCCCGGCCGACCCCATGACAGGAGCTGAGCCCCGGCAGTGTCAGCGCCGCGAACTTCCCGGCTCAGCAAAGAAACAATACCCCGCGGAGCCCCGGCCTCCCCCCGCCCGGCCCGGCCTGGCCCTGCCCGCGGGGCCCCCGCGCTGCCCCCGCCGGGACCCGCCGCGGCCGCGGGACCGAGCGCGGGGGGGGGGGGGGGGGGAAACCCGGCCTGGCGGGAGGCCGCTCCCGGGCCGCGCCGAGTCCGCGGCGGCCGCGGGGGGCGGCGGGGAGGACGGCGGGGCGGCGGGGGCCGGGTGAATGCGCGGGGGGCGCGGGGGGCGCGGCGGGGGCGGCGCGGGGGCCGCACTCACCGGGCGGGCCCTGGCGCGGCTCCGGCGGCCCCACAACCATAACAAAGCTCTGCCCAAAATGGCCGCCCGGCCCTGCCCGGCCGGGGGCCGGAGGGGGCGGGGCCGGCGCGCGCGCGGGGCGGGGCCGAGCACGCGGAAGGGACACGCCCCCCGCCCGGCTTCCCCTCGCCCGCCCCCGCCCCGCGCCCCGCGCCCCCCGCCCCGCCAATCACAGCCCGCGCCGCGCGCCGCCCTCGCCGCAGCCTGGCGGAAGTCGCCGCAGACTACGAGTTCCAGAAGGCCTCGCGCCCCCTCGCCCTGCAGAACGGCCGGGCGGAAGCCGCGGGGCACGCTGGGACCTGTAGTCCGCTTGTGGGAGGTTGGCCCGCTGCGGAGATGCCGGAGCTTAGAAAGGAGGAGCGGCCGCGCCGCCTCGCAACTCCACGGGCGGCAGAGGCCCCTGTCGCTCCTCTACCAGACCGACCGCGGCCCTCGGGCTGAGAGTGAGCGGCGCTGCTGCCTTCGGCTCGGGTTGGCCTTTCCTCGGCCAGGCGGAACGCGATGGGCCGCTCCCGTTGCCGCCCGGAGCGGTAGCGCTGAGCGCCGGGCGCCGCCGGAGCGCTTCCTGGGGCACCGGAAGCCGCCTCAGGGAGCGCGGGCGGGGCGGCGGCGGCGCCCGGGAGTCCTGCCCGGTGCCCGTGGGCGGCGGGGCCGCTTCTCCCTCTGGGGTGTGAAAGTTCTCCTGTCCGCCTTCCCTCTGTGACCTTTGGCCGCGCGGAGCTGCCGTCCTTCCCCGGAGCAGCAGGATTGGGAACTGCCTTCCGTGGTGAGTGTCATCCTCCGGCAGGGAGCTTACCTGTAGCCTGGGAGGGGATCGCCTTTCCACTCTGTAGTGGCCCAGTACGGATTGAGTACATGTATTATATATATTATAGCTTATTTTAGAGGAGCAGGGAAGTGAAGGCAGCAATAAATTGCAGGGCAGAAACTAATAAATCAATAAGGAAGAGGTGTTATGTGCCAATGAGGTGGAGTTCCAGGAGAAATGATAATATATATATATATTTCTTTAAATATACACCTGACCCTGTGAGCATCTGATAAGTGTAGACTTTGGACATAAGAAACTCACCTGTTCAGCAGCTTCAGACCTTGTCCTCACTTTTTCTGGTTTTAGGACGTCGGTGAAACAAATATGTTTCCTCTCATACAACGGTGCTGCTTCTACACATCTTTCAGAGTAAGTTACTTAAGCTTTTCTTTTGCTGTCTGTTTTTATTTAGAAGTAAAATAGCAAAGTATATAAACTGCAGCTTTGAAAAAAAAAAAAAAAGTGGCTTTCAGTTAGAGTAGCCACACCTTTATCACTCAGCTTTTCTGGGAGAGCTCCTGCTTTCTCCAGCACTTTTAGACAAAGCTGTTTCTTTCATAAAATTATATTTTATTGTCTCAAGGTGTTTTTTCCTCTCACTTTTTGATAGAGCAGCGAGGGAGAGTAGTTTGTTGCTGGGGTGACCTTGTCCTGCTTGTGCAGGAAAGTATTTTACATTTTGTTCTGAAAGGGACTGGTGTATCTTCAAAGTGCCTAAAGAATGCAGGTGTGGGGGGAAGGATGGGTGGGTGTACAAACCTTTTGCGGTGAGTAGAGGTTTTCTTGCTCACTCTGGAGAGCCCAGTTGCTCTTCATCAGCTGCATGGGGTGCCTTCACCAGTTCAGTTATAAACACCTGAAATCCAAGGGCAAGGACAGCTGTGATGTGACCTGACCTGGAAAACCAGTTGGTACAATATTCCCCAGGTGGCTGAGGTAGCTGCAGGTCTGTAAGCCTGCACTGTGTGGTGCTCAGGACAAGTTTTGTGCTTGCAGCTCCAGAAGTTAACGGGTCCCAGGCTGCTGCTCTGTGCAAAGAATAAAACAACTTGGTCTTCCCTCGGCCTCTGGCTCCAGAGGGATGTGTGTCCTCTCTCGAGACCTCCAAGCCTCAAACCAGTTTATGCCACCCAGCTCCAGGCTCTTCACACCTCTCTGCCCGCCTCCAAGAAGAAAAAACCTCCAGAATCCGAGGCAGAATCCCAAGAAAGCAAGGAATCCCTGAAGGATGCTCCCAAGCCAGCCCTTTACCTGAGCCTGGGGGGACTATTTCCCTTCGTGATGGCACCGCTGGCCATGGCCATGCAGGGCTCCTACTACCCCGAGGTGGCCTTTGCTCAGGTGACGTACGGGGCCGTGACAGCCTCGTTCCTGGGGGGAATGAGATGGGGCTTTGCCCTCCCTGAAGGCAGCCCGGCCAAGCCGGACTGGCTGAACCTGGCGAACGGCATCGTGCCCCCCGTGCTGGCCTGGCAGGCCTTGCTCTTCAAGGATGCCACCCTGGGAGCAGTGATGCTGGTGATGGCCCTGGGGATAGCCCTGCATTATGATGTCGCCCTTCTGCCCCCGTACCCGAGGTGGTTTCGGAGGCTGAGGGTGTGGGGAACGGTGGTGATGGTGTCGTCCCTGCTGGCCACTGCAGCACTGAAGTTCATTTTAGAGGAGCAGAGACTTGAAGGCAGAAATAGCTGGCAGAACACAAACTGATAAATCGATAGGGAAAAGATATTGTCTGCCAGTAAGGTATTTGAGTGGAGTTCCTGGAGAAATAAAGAACTGATTTGTGCTTAAAAGTGATGATGGCAGGGATCAAGATGCTTACTCTCAAAGGAAACTTGATTTTCCTACTGATTTTCTAGCTAGTTTAGGAGGGAAGGATTGCAAATAGCAATGACTTCCAAGGCAAGGCGGAGTCTGTCCTTATCCATAGAACAAGGAATCGCTCTTGAACGACATATTGCTGTCCTAGGAATTTCAAATGGAGATTCAGAATGATGTGGGTATGAATTGCTGTAGGCTGAGTTATTAAAGTATCTGGTTTAACTATAATGTGGGATCATGTTCTTAGGTGAGGAGGACAACTGTGTGGTCATAAACAGCAACAAGGTGAAAGCAGTTTTTAGTTTGGTGTTTAAAGCAGCAGCAGAGAACTGTGCGCAAGCACATCCATGTTCAGTTCCTGTGCTCTGGAACAAGACTCCTTTTTCACCTGAGGATCACAGAATCATTTGGGTTGGAAGGGGTCTTAAAGATCATCTTGTTCCAACCCCCCTGCTCAGAGCTCCATCCAGCCTGAACACTCCAGGGGTGCTGTGTGAGGAAGTGCTCAGTGCAGAGTCAGTAAGAAAGGCCAGGTGAGGTTTGTTTGCAAGGCAAGGCAAGGTCAGCACTCGCCTAAAATGTGTCATTCAGTTGCTCTGCTGGAGTGGGGAAAGCTGAAGGTGGAGCTTTGTGTCTTTGATGAGGCACCAGAGGAGACAGAAGGTCAACTTCCTGCTCAGGCTTACTAAAACAAAAAAGGATATGTGGGCCACCTGCTCCTAGGTTTTGTTTGGAATTAGGGCTGCCCAGCAAAGGAAGCTGCATGCAACACAGCCAGGAAGATCTGCCACACTCCTAAATTAAAGCACTGCGAACTGATGTTGTACAGCAGGACATGAGGACTCCAGTGCTGGCACTAAGGGACTAGTTAAGGGGATTGAAAGTAGTTTGTGTCTTTTCCTTCCTGAGAATCCATATATGTGAGCTCCCAGAACAGGTACAGATGGATTTGTAATCCGCAAACCCTCCACGATGGGCCTGTTACTGAAACCCCTGCAGAAGCAGGTGGCCTTTGTACATCATTCAGCAGAAGTCACAGCCTAAGTTAGGTGGATCCTCTTCTCTGGTCTCAGGTACCTCTGGAAAGCCATGAAATTGTATGTGAACATATTTATTGTAAGCTTTTAACTGGAAGTCTTTAAGTACAGTGTAATATCCGAGAAAGCTGAAAAGTGACATCCACACGTGGTTTTAGGACCAGATGGTCCTCATAGTTGTTAAATCGCTGATCTTCATCGTTCTACACAGAATAAAGCACATATTGTCACTTAGACTTTATCTGTTCACTCTGCGAAGAGCAGAGGTTTGAGAAGCCTGCCTGTCCTGGAGATAGAGGCATCTTGTGTGATATTGCTGAAACAGCAGCTCTGTACACCAGCCTCTCACTGCTGCAACCTGTCAACTTTTGTATGGTAACAGCATCATCCCTCTGAAGCAAAAATATACGTCAGTGCTCTCTGAATATAAAGGAAATAAAATTGAGTTTATGATCTAAAATGTTTCTGTTCTTTCTTACTTACACATCATTGTTTAAGAGGGGTCCAGAGTAGAGCCCTGCCTTTGGCTTGATTCAGTGAAAGAGGTGCTGAGTATCAGAGACCATAATCAATCAGCCACCAAGTTCCATTAAAACATGATGTAATCAGCTACAGAACCTGGAGAAGGTAACTCCACACAGCTGCAGATTCCCTCAAGCTCCGTAAACCAGGAAGTTTATGGGCAGGAATCAGAAGTGAACTCTCAGTTCCCAAACTAATAAAATACAGCTAAGGTAATGTTCCTCCAGTGGTTCCCACAAAAGACCCCGAAATGTGAAGAAGAATGCTCAAGAAATAGTATCTGTAATTTCATCCCACAGAGGGCTGAACAGAGCTGGCAAGACAGCCAGATTCCCAAGAAGTCTGAGTGATTTTACACTGAGAACAGACATATGTGAGTGTTCTACTGCAGAAAGGTGTTACTTGCATCATTCAAGCAGTCACAGTTTATAACCAATCGTTCTCTAATGTGCTACTGGAAAATAGGATTTCCAGTAAAAAGACAGAAGGAGCTATTATATCACAGTGGCAGTGATACAACTCTTTGTAATATGAAAGCAACCCGCTCAAGAGCATTCCACAGTCAGTTCTGAAAACACATTTTATTATGAAAAGCTGTTTAATACAAGCTTATACTTGAAAAAACTAGACATTAATTCAGACATATAAGAAATCCTCTGAAGTAAAAGCACACACAAGATTGTAGAACAATCAGAGAAAGAAACTCTCCATCATGTAGCACGCTTTAGCCCAACCCTATGTCAGATTTTAAAACCTAGACTCTTAAGGTACCTGCAACACTCACCTTGGGGCATTTGATTCCTGTATTAATTTGTTAATTTTACACAGGGGATGTTGACCTACACAGCATGAATGCTCCTTTGTCTACACACTGCAGGCTTCCTGTTTAGTGACATTCCAGTTGCGGTTTTGTGTTCCAGAATAACACTGTCTATCATAAAGTTCAAGCAGCCTCACTTCAGGCTCCTTCCAAATCATCCACAGCTGTGCAGTCACAAGTGTGCAAAAAGCAACTTCAAATTCGTTACTTAAAGGAATCTAGGAAAAACCTCCAAACTCGTAGTAGTATTGTTCTACTGGATGTATCCAGGCTAAATACAAACTCCTCAAGCATCACTGATGGCATCACTTCAATGCTGAGTGCAGCTGATTCTATCACAGAAAGCTTCACTGGCTCAAACTGGGACGAGGCACGAGATGTAGTGAAGGTGAAAGTGCGTGCCTTGTAGAACAGCAAATACTCCAATGCCAAGTCTCAGCATGTGTCACACAGGGTAAAAGCACATTTAACTGTGGGAGAAAAAAAAAATGGGGGCAAAAGGCTCTCCCTAAGTTGTTTTACTAAGAGCAGTCCTAAAGAGAACAGCAAACCTAAGGAACAGCATTTCCATTTAAAATTCACCAGACCTTACACAAAAAGGAGCTCTACTGTCAATGCTGATACCACTGAGAAGAAAAGCCAGTGCTGAAGTGGAATGACATTATCAGAACAGTGAGGATAACCTTCCAAAATAGGAAATTCTCAGCCACTCACCATCCAAGTGAGTGGAGTAGCCAGAAAGTAAATATCCAATTCATATTTAATGTCCAGGAGCAGAAAAGAGGCTCAAATGTGTCAAGGTCTTAAGTAGAGACAAGAAACACCAAGCTTCCCCCATGTTATCTTCTCTTCCTCGTTTTCCACCAGAAAAAGACAGCTAATGCCATCCAAACTGCCCACCTGGTCTTATCTCCAGGTAACTCCTTGCTGTCCATAGCTAACCCCCTTCCAGATTGCAAGGGCAGCTGAAATGCCAGCTTTGGTGCACCTGAGAGAGTTAACAACCCAAATAACGTCTCTAACGTGCTGGAATTACTGCTTCAGATTTTTACAGGGCAAATTCACCGTTTATTTCAGTGAGCCTAATCCAGTTATAAGAGGCATTCCTACTCTTAACAGAATACTTCCCAAGACAGACACTGGATAAGCCAATTTACTTTGAAGGGCTTTTCCTTTTGCTCGGGAAAATCCCTCTGATCTAATTCTCCACTGCAGCTCCTGTGTTAAAAAGAGGTTTCTGGCCAATGGAACCGGAGATCTGAGGAGGCAGATTTTACTCCTTCCTTCAGTGAGTGTCCTTCTCTGTGTTTCACAGCACAGCCACCCCTCCTTCGCAGCGGCTGGTGATCATGTTGGCAATTTCAGTCCAGCTGTCCATATGAGGGTTATAAACTTCAACAGAGTCAGAGGTTACCGGAGCAGCAAAATCAGGGCTGGGAGCTCGGCCTCCCGAGGCATAGAGGAGTCCATTCACAGCCACCACACACACACCAGCTCTTGGGATCTTCATTGGAGCGACTTCAACCCACTTCTCCTAATGACAAAGTGAGAGTCAACAAGCAGTTTTAGGGCAAGCCCCCATTCTAAAAAAATGACTTTTAAAGCTTAAAGACTGAAACAGATCCAAAGAACACTGTGTATGCTCTTCACGGGCTCCAATATGGTATGTGTACAGTATCAAGAGGATTATCAACCTAGGACTGACGACACTTTCACAAGGGGAGTCCAAATCGTGTCAGTCACTAAAGAGAAGATCCCATACTGTCTGTACCCCTCCCTTTCTTCAGTCACTGCAAGATGCAGTCTGTCTCCAAAACAGAGAATGGTACAGCCTGAGGTGGGAAATAAGTAAAACTAGATTGAATTCAAAAGGCAAACAGATTGGCTCACTGGGTTATGTTCTGTTTTTAACAGTAGCTACTCTTCCAAACAGCGTCATAAAAACATAAGCAGTAACAGTCAGGAATAATTTCTTATTTTAGTCATGCTGAAACACCATTTTGATGCAGAAGAAAGATCCTCAACTTTTCAGTGAGTTTTTTCCCTCTATTCAAATTATTGACTTTTCTATTGAAGAGGAGGAATCTATCCTCTCATCTTAACCCTAGCAAGTATTTACCAACCTACAGTATATCTGAGCATGGTTAAACCACAACAACTAGTCAGGATAGACCACCAAAAGCTTTGTTTTACTCAAGATCACCAGCCAGTAGTGAAAAGGAAATGGAACTTCCAGTTTTTCTTTTCAAAGAAAGGAAGCAAGATCCCTCTATAGCATCTTACACAGATCTGATGCAATCTGCATTTATGAAAGGAAGGGACTCTGCCATACCTCTTCAAATGAGTATCTTTCTACACTAGCAAGCGCATCCTGAGATTCATTCCAGCCTCCCACGGCGTAGATACAGTCGTTGAGAGCAGCCACACCAAGATACGCCCTCCGGGTGCCCATGGGAGCGAGCTCAGACCAGCGCTTGGATATCGGGTCGTAGACTTGGACAGAGCGGAGCTCTGCTCCCTCGCTGCTGATGCCACCAACCACGTAAATCAAACCTGCAGGAACAGAATTTCTCCTCTCTCAGGTTTCACAATACAAAGACAGACAGAAAATGACTGTCACAACAAAGGTTTCAGCCTGACGTTAACATGGCTTAACAGTGACAGAAAAACCTCCCTTTGTTCAGTAGCAGAGCACATAAAGCTTTTGCATGAGCAACTTGAGGCTTCAACACTGGAAGCTCTGATGAAAGCAAACATTAATTAAGTGCAGGGGAAGGAATTCAGAAGGTTGCAAATGCTGACCAGGCCTGAATCAAATACTTAAGAGGCACATTTATTTACCAAGTCTT